CGGCGACCGCTTGCGATTTATGAGAACACATCAAAAATTATATCGCCGATTGTCCATGATCGTCGCCGACCATCGGCGATGACATCGCAGGAAAAAAAAATTTGTTTCTTGCGACCATCGCCGACTGCCACCTGCTTGAAAAATCTATGAAAAATGAGTAAAAGTTGTTTTTTCCTCAACAAGCAAGGAAATAATCAACTGAAGTTTGACATAAATCATGATCTTTACGTTGAACGGGGCCATTTTGTGCCTTGGTGGGAAATTTCGAAACACATCGGCTGTCATCTGCGACGTTCACCGATGTATGAGAACTTTCGTACATTCGCGATCGGTGAGCATCGGCAATAAGCGTCGCCGATCGTCGGTGACAGTTTGCGATGAATGAGAACTAGGCTTAAATACCCAAGGATGACGTAACCTGCCAAGAAGATGCATATATTCTTCTGGCAAATAGGCACCGTCATCCCTATTCAAAGCATGATGACTCATATTTATATGCCACGCTTCTAGGCAAAGTCTTTGACCATAGCGATTGTTTGTGGTAATTACTTTAGAGTTTTCCCACGCAATCTCGTGTTTGGTGTAACACACATGTTCGGCTAAAGCTGATTTTCCCTTGTCTAAAGTTGAAACAGCCTTTTGATGTTCTTTTAGCCGTGTACCAAACTGGCGTTTAGACTGACCCAAATACTCTTTGTCGCAGTCACCGCATGGTATAGAATATATAGCATGAGTCTTCTGATTTTTTTCAACAGGATCTTTTGGCTTTGCGAAAATATGGCCTAAGGTCAAATAGGGTTTTAAGGCAACCTTAATATTACAATTACTTAAGATTCTCTTGATTGGTTCTGTGACACCTTGAATGTATGGAACTATTGCAAAACCCTTAACAGAGGTATCACCCTCGGAGTTATTTTGGTTCCTACAAACAGGTGGTCTCAGGCAATCATTAAGAAAACGCTTCGGGTAATTGTTTTCCCCTAAAACATTTAGAACATATTCACGTTCATTAGCTTGAGAATCACTGTTTGACGTCAACGATTCAGCTCTTTGAAGCAAAGTTTTTGCTACGGATCTTTTATGGCTTACTGGGTGATGAGAATCGTATGACAAGTATTTGTCTGTGTGTGTGTGGGTTTGCGATAAACATCAGTCTCTAACTTCCCTTCGACAGTTCTGTGTGCATTCAAATCTAAAAAAGCTAAATGTCCATTTATTTCACGTTCTACCGTGAATTGGATGGACGGCTCAATAGAATTTAAATGTTGCAGCAGAATATCGATCTCATTTGTAGAAACCGCAGAGATGACATCATCGACGAAACGTTTCCAAAACGATAGGGACACCGGAACAGAGGCTAAAGCTCTTTGTTCGACATCTTCCATTACTAAATTAGCAATTACTGCCGAAACTGGTGACCCCAGTAAGGTACTTTTTGTTTATCAACAAGTAATAATTGTCCAAAAATACGCATCTAAATCGTGAATTTCCCATTTTTTAAAAAACTGTATTGAGCCACCTTAAAAGTTAATCTTGCTGATAAAGTAATCGTCAATTTGCCCAATAAGCCATGAATTTGGCTTTCGTGACAAACCTTATATTAATACAATTACAAGTAAATTTTCACTTGCTCACCCCGGCTAGCCGGGCTCAAACAGGTCTTGTTAAAAACATATTCGGTGGGAGGAACTTCCAGTTTTTGGGAAGGCAGTATTTCAGTCTTGTTGCTCATCTTCCACCAATAAGTAGGAGTATGTAAATTACCTTTGCCATCCGTAAACACATATCCATCTAGTTTCTCTTTAAAATTTAAGATGTCCACTGAATGCTTGAAATTAATGTATGCGCGAGAAAATGGAATAGGGGAAAAACTAAAAAAGAACAAGTTTACTTGTTACTCAAACTTGAATACGATCAATTTAATTTGTTTTGTTACTTCATAAATCCGGTCACTACTCTCACATGCAACAGAAGGGTACATATAACAACATAGGGCATGAGTCAAACCCCCCTCGCAGAAATTAGAACACTGCAGACACCAGAGAGAACATTAATTTATGTCATCATACATTCATACAGGACGGCTTGTTTGCGGAAAATTTTTTTTTCTGAGCATGTTCAGAAGTTTAAATTGACAAAAAAGAAACTAATTTCAAGAAGAATGTATAATTAATACTTTTGAAGGTACAGTACAACCTTTCTATTGATTTCACAGTATTTTGTGTTCGCCGCCTCAGAATCGGTGATCATAAGCCTACATAGTCACCTCGCCGTCGGTGACTAATTAATTAATTATTAAATACCCAGTAATGCCACGTTATTTCCATTGCTGACGTGTGAGTGTGCAATAAATGTTTGGAGCAAGTTGTTTCCAAAAAAGATTATCGCACACTGTAGAGCCCTATTGATCGTAATAAAACGCGAAATTTTAGAAGCCCGAAAAATGGCTTGTAGTAGATTCGCTTCTCTAAACAAAGAAGAATTCTTCAAATTATTGTCAGAAAGATGTCACGCAACAATGCAAAACTATTTTCTACAGGTATTTATTATATTTTCTCCGTGTAAATACCGCGTTTTCTTTTCATCTTTTACACATTTTTCATTTGAAGTTGATTCAGCTCAAGGTGGCGCCCTACAGTTGTTTAAGCATGGGACTGGTAACAAAATGACATGAACGTGCCGAGTCGAAATTTTATCACGTCAGCAAAAATTTTATTTGACCGTGCAAGGTTTGTAATGTAATAACTTTTTTTCCTTCGGTCATTTTTCTGAAAGTTTTTATTTTAGAAGTACTAGTCATTTATTGCAATACATTAAATTTTCAAAATATTCTATAAAAGTTTTTGTGGAACAAATTTCGCGTAATATCTCAAAACCTGAATTTATAACCCCTCCCCCCTATTGTTTTAATATTAATCTTCCAGTAGATATTCCCTTTATACCTACAAAATTTCAGAAACTTTGACCGAAGTAAATTTTAATAAATTCATTTTTAGTCCAAAATTTGATCTTTGTCTGCTGTCGCTCAGGCCACATTGTTACAACAGCAACACACAATTTGCTTCTTTCGAACGGCTATGCTTGAAGTATACTAGATTACGCAAGCGTTTCTACTTCCAAAAAATCCCCATTTCACATAAATAGCAAATATTTTGCGTCATTGTGAAGACCTTATTATTCCGCTGTTGTTTCTTTACAACTGTAGGGAGCTACCTTAAATGTATATATGATATCATTTATCAAGAGTTTGCAAACCTTGGTCAATGTTATCAGCGTCAGCTTCGCTAGATAACATCACAGTTAATAGAATACATGGTTTGGAGACTCGATGAAAGTACAATATAACTCATTAACTATGTTGGTTTCGGTTTATGCAAGAATTTGGGCCTATCTCGTCACGTGTGTATTGTATTTTTCCCGCACAACCAATAGCAATGTTTAAATTGAGCATTTGTTCAAGTTACGGATGGATAACTCAACCACAAACTTGTTATTGGTTATTTGAGCAAAAATACAATACAAACGTGACGAGATAGGACCAAATTCTTGCATAAAGCTGGACAATAACATAGTTAATGAGTTATATTGCACTTTCATCGAGTCCCCAAACCATCTATTAAAATAACTGTGATAACATTGACCTCGGTCTGAATAATTATTCATTTGTTAGCACATACTCGAACGGGAGGTGTATAATGCATTTCGCGCAATTTGATCAGTTTCTCAGCTCTGGATATCCTTGCACTATTCACAAAAAAGCTGGTAAATACTGTTTTGTTTATAACTATTGCGGAAGCTGTAATACAAATGGGTTTTTGTTTGGTCATTTTTGTTTTGAATATCCTGCCTTGCACTATTCGCCTCCACTTTGGTCAATATTTGTTAAATATCACGCTCAGTATTATCCAATAATTGTTTGCTATAAACCACCATCTTTTAATGAGGCCTGGAGTAAGTAAGCAACAATTAGGTGCTTTATTAGGTGCTTCATTCAGACCAGGGGCACATAGGAAGCTTGATAAACTTAGAAGGGCCCAATCGAATCTCTAGATTTGTTGGAAAATGCATTCTCAGATTCTTTTAAATTAGATTTTTTTTGGGAGGGGGGGGGGACAAAAGCTATTCCAGCCTCCCTCCTCCCTTTAGAAAATATTGGTGGGACATGGCCCCCGAACTCCTGCTTCCTATGCCCCTGATTTAGATTATGTACACTGTATTGCATATTAAATGACTGTACAGACCTGAGATCACTTCCACAAAACCTAAAGTAATCATGATCTGGCAAGCCTTCAGGGAACACTTCATTCAATGTCTGAAGAAGCAGGTTTTTGTGCATACTGGGTGGCAAACGACGAATAATCACCTATACAATACATACAATTGCAAATCATTAGGATACCTTGTGGTTTGAAAAAAAAAACACAACAAAGACCAGAATGTGGACTTAAAAAACAAATTCAAAGTCAACAGTTTTTCCAATACATTGAGTTATCAAGCATGCATGTGGGCAACGTAAAAGATGCTTGCAGCAATATAGCTTATAAATATACTAGCTATTTACTGACGTTATTTATGCCAATTTATGTGCAAATTGAATGTAGTCTAGGTATCATTCGACTGGTTTTACCTATTGCAAGTGTGCACCAAAAACAAAAGAAAAGGTCTGTCATTGGGCACCAAAAAATAATTTGAAATCTAGCTGCGAATCGTACGAAAAATTCCCATTGGTCAAAAATAAATAGCCTTGCCTTTTAAGGTAATATCAAGTTGTTGCTTACATAATATGATATTCCGTACTTGTAATTGTATACTTTTTGCCGCATTAATTACTGCCTTTGCTGTCTATAAACACGGTCAATAACCGTTATTATTATTTAGTATGTAATTTCGTTTAAAGAGAATTGGAATATTTATTTTCGAGATATTGGCGGGAAAATTGGCCGTTATTGTCATAATTTAAATTAGCTTTGATAATCTAATTAACAATCGCCGTTTTGATTGGCTGTTATTTTCGGGCATCCAAATGACTGTCAACTTTTCATTGACTTCAGTAGCAGGCTATATTTCAATCATACGGCCTGATATGTAGGCTGCCATGGAGTAAGATGCCCGAACCGCACGGACTCACAAGTGGAGAGGTCTGTTTTTATATGTTTCTGAATTCTGAGATTTGAGGCCAGCCCATGTTGCTGGGCTCTTGCTTGATCCCAACCTCGTTCCCAGGCTCTTTGCTCTTGGGAAGCAAAGAAAGAGCCTGGGAACGAGGTTGGCTTGATCCATGCTTGAGGCGCTGGTATGATCCAGCTTTCCCAGGCTGAATCTATAAACACACTATTAAGCGGGCCAGACAAACCGGGCTGGAAAATGGAAATTGTGTCACAATGCATGCTTTATTCACCTAGAAAGCATCTAAAAATTCAAAACAAGTAAGAAATCAACAGAATTAAGAATTCAGAAGCAGTTCTCACCAAAAATGGGACAAGAATTTTATATAGCGCTGGCTGGGCTAGCCCGCCTCATACAAAATAAATAACAATTGGCCTGGCAAGCAAGCCAGCCAGCCCGGTTTGCAGGACCAGGCATGTCCTGTTGCCAGGATGGGGGAAAGGGGAAGGTAAAAGAGTTGCCACTGCAAGCTAAATTGTCATGAGAGTACTCACTGACTGGCCCACTGGCTGAGGACAAGTTGGGGAATGTGGATCCCCTTCAGAGGTGGAGAAAATAGTCAAGAGCAGAAGCTGCTCGAAATTTCAACTGCACGAAGTTGACTACGCTGAAGAATTGCAACATTCTTATTATTATTAGCGGAGAATTTTTAAAACTGTAATATGGTGAAGAATGTGCTCCACCACTGAATATCCAGACTGGAATCTTTGTAGTGTGGAGAGAAGATCTTCTTCGCGGTATTTTTTGTGAGATCAACTGCATCTGCGCAAAAACTATAAAACTGTGCAGCATGTACATTAATTAGTATTGTAGTCACAATTTATACTTAATATTGTTTTTTTCCTATCTTCTTATTAAGAAAACAAACATTTGGACATTGACATGACAAACATTGTTGATTTTTTAATATTTATGCGTTTTATATTCTCAACTTCTATGCCTATTTCAGCAAATTGACTCATTGAGTAAGCTAGAGTAACCAGCGCAGGATGAACCGATGACCTTGAAAGGCCGTCTAGCAATAGTGGTCATCTGCACAAATATTGGTCTTAATCTTTAATACAGGGTTTGAATTAGTTGAGAAAAAATGACGTGCAATTTTTTTTAATTTAAAAAAAATGTGGCTCTAAATTTTTATAAAATAGGTTCACGATTGTATTAGATACTTAGCCTGCGTGCCCTATGTATCGTTATACTCTTCAGGGGGCGGGTGGCGATTGGTTGCGGTGCTAACAACTTAACATGACTTTTTGTCAATAATGTTAGATAGTTTACTGTAGTCAGTCAATTAGATCTACTCAATCAAACTGCAATAATTTAATTATTTAAATACTTTTTAAACATTGTTTGCAATCTTTGATATACAAACCAGAGTATAACACATAACATTAATCATTCATGTGTTTGTCTGTCATGGTGGCTAAAATTTGATACCTTCCAGTCTGCAATTACATGCTGTTAGGTGCATGCAAAAGCACTGTCTTGTTTATACAGTAGATTATAAGACAATAGATTGGCTTTGTTTAAATCTACATGTATAAATACATGGATTATGGATGGTGTTCATAGTAATGATATGGATGGTGTCCATTAATAATAATGGCCTATTGGAAGATCACATCTTGTAATAAATACTTTAGTTTTGTCTTTGTGAAATAGTACCATGGATAAATAAAGTTTGATTGATTCATTGGGTCGTTCCAGAAAA